AGTTTCCTGAGCCGGGTACGGACCGGGGCTTTTGGGGGGTGCGGGGGGGGCTGCCGGGGCGTGACGTCACTGCTCACCTGCGACGTCATCGCTGCATCCCCGCACTCGCTTCTGCAGCGGCCTCACACAGCCCTGACTGGGCCGGGCCTGCCCCGGGGCCTCGGTCCAGTCCCCAGCACCGGGGTTCGGGGCGGGTCCGCTCCCTCTCACGCCGCCCCCTCCTCCTCCAGCTGCCGGTGTTGCTGCGGGGCACGGCCGACGACGACACCCCGTGCCCCGGGTACCTGTTCGAGGAGATCGCCAGTATCCTTCGGGGAGCCGGGGGGGCGCGGGGCAGGGGCGTTCCCCGGGAGAGGGAGGGGTCCCGGGGCCGGGGGAGCTCCCCGGGGCTGCTCCAGGCCGTGGTGGGCTTTGGAGGCCTGCAGGGCCGGGTGGGGCAGCTGTGGGACTGTGGGCCCTGGCTGGGAGCCTGTGGAGGGGCTGAATTCCTGGCACTCGGGGGCTGCTGCTGCCCTCCGATCCCGGCTGCATCCCTAACCCGTCCCTAGAGATCTCCCACGAGTCCCCCGGCAGCAGCCAGTGTCTGCTGGAGCATCTCCTCACACGGCTGCAGAGCAGCTCCTGCCACGTCAAGTTGAAGGTGGGTCCGTGCTGGGAGCACTGGGGGGCGATGGGATGGACCCCCCTGCTCCAGGGAGGGCAGCTGTGACTTGTCCTTGCCCCCGAGGCAGGTGCTGAAGATCCTGCTGCACACCTGCTCGCAGGGCTCGCCCCAGTTTGTGCTGCAGCTGAAGAGGAACGCCAGCTTCATCCGGGAGGCTGCAGGTAACCCCACGGCCTGGGGGGACGTGGCAGAGCAGCAACAGCCCCACGGGGGGCTGGAGACCCCAGAAGGGCTCCTGCTGTGGGGGCTGTGCCAGGAGCAGGGTCCTACCCCACCTGCGAGCGTCCCTCACCCTCCCCTCTGTGTCTGCAGTGTTCTCCGGGCCCCCAGACCCCCTCCACGGCAACAGCTTGAACCAGAAGGTGCGGGCGGCCGCACAGGTGGGTGCTGGAGGGACAGGGCAGCCCCCAGCCCCCTGCTCGGGGGGCTCTGGGGCTCCCAGCACTGCCAACACTCCTCTCTCTCTGTGTCTCTCCGTCCCACAGGACCTGGCCAGCATTCTGTTCTCGGATGCGCCGCTGCCGCAGCCCCTGGCGCTGCCCGCCCGGCCCCCGGCCCCCGCCGGTGAGCACAGCCCCCCCGGGCCGGGCCCTCGCTCAGGGGGACAGGGACACAGCAGGAAACGGGAGCCCTGAGTGCCTGTGCCCCCCCTGACATTCCCTGTGCCTCCCCAGGGATGGGCTCCAGCCCCAGCCCCTGTGGCTCCCTGCAGGGATTCGGCTTCAGCAGTGACAAGAGCGGCTCCGGTGAGTCCTGGCCGGGCCCTCACTGGGTCCTTTCCTGCTGGGAGCTGGGGCAGGGCTGGGGGGGTCACTCTGTGCCTCGTCCTCTGAGCTCCCAGAGCTCCCTCACCCCCTTTCCCAGCCTGGAGCTGGGTGTTGGGGTGATCCCGTGGGGGTGGGCTCCCGGGGTTCTCCCAACATCCCAGCCTCTCGCAGCTTCCACAGGAGAGGCCCTGCTGAGCAGCCTCCAGCGGGCGGCCGAGGCCGTGGCCCAGGCCGTGCTCCCGGCACCGGGGGGGCCCCGGCAGCTCCGTGGGGACCTCCCCGAGGACACCTACGAGCCCGTCCGAGCTCCATCCCCCGCCAGCAGCCCGGCCCTGCCGCCCCCGACCCCTCCCGCGCCACGCACGTCCCGAGGTGGGTCCTGCCCGGGGAGTTTGGGGGGTCCCCAGCCCTCATGGGGGGTTTGGGGATCCCAGCTGAGCAGCGCTGTCCCTGCAGTGAGCCACCAGCCGGGGCTGCCCGGGGGCGGCTGGGAGGAGGCAGACAGCGGGCACAGCTCCCGGGAATCCTCGCAGGGCCACGAGCGGAGCCGCGCCTCGGACTCGGGCAGCAAATCCGGCAGCGACAGCCGCTCCGGGGCCAGCCGGGAGCTGAGCCACGGGGCCGACAGGTGAGAGGGGCCCGGGGGTTCCTCTGCCCTGGGACTGGCCCAGGAGCACTCTCAGGAGCGCTGCCCTCGCTTTCCACACCACGGATCCAGAGTGCCCCGGCACCGCTGGCTGTGTTCCACCAGGAGTGTTCGTCCTGCCGGCCGTGGGCGGGCAGAGCTGCCCAGGGTGGGGGTCCCTGTGTGCCAGGGGTGTGCAGGGACCCCAGGAGGAGTAAGCAGGTGGCTCCTGTCCTCACGAGGTGTGTCCCCAGCAGGGTGGATGCTGACAGCCCGGGTGACTGCCGCAGGGAGCTGAGCCTGGTGTCGGGACTGACGCGCGGGGCCAGGGTCTTCCTCACCAGGGAGGAAGCTCATCACTTCCTCAAGGAGTGAGTGTCAGAGGCGGGTGCTCCCTGGGGCTGGGGGGGCTTCTGGGGCAACCTGAGCCCTTCCCTGGCTGCCCAGGCCTGGACTGTGGGATGGGGAGGGGCTGCAGGTGACTGTGACCCCATCCCTGTGCAGGTGTGGGCTCCTGAACTGTGAGGTGGTGCTGGAGCTGCTGGGCCGGGCGCTGGAGGATCCCAGTGACAGCGTCCGCATGGTGAGTGAGCTCAGGGGGCTCCCCTGGGAGGGCTGGGGGTGTTTGGGGGCCTGCCAGGCTCAGCTGCCCTTTCCTACAGAGGTCCATGTGTGCCATCTCTGCCCTCGGCTGCTCTGACCTGCTCTCCCCAGAGCAGATCTTTGCCGTGACACAGCAGCGCCTGCAGCACCTCAGCCAAGGCAGCCCTGGGCCTGTGGCCAACCGAGCAACAAAGGTGACTCTGGGGACATCCCTGTGCCCAGTCCCTTGGGTGGGGGCTCCTGGCACAGGTTTGACAGCCCTTGGGGACACACAGCCCTTGGGAATGGCTCAAGGAGGGGTGGGTGGTTTGGCCGCCTTTCCCAGGGCGGGGTGATGCTCCCTCTGAGCCCCGGGAGGGGACACGGGGGACAGTCCCTGTGCCTGGGAGGAGGTGCCAGGCTGAGCCCCTTGGCCGATGCCGCTCACTGTGCCCACCCCTGTCCCAGATGCTGCGGCAGTTCGAGGCCCTGTGCCGGGCCCAGCCCTCCCCGAGGGCCCCACGCCCACCCTCGGCCCCCTCGGCGGGCTCGCCCGGGGACCTGCTCATGGACATCCCGGCCGTGACCAGCGGCACCTTCCTGACGCCCCTGAGCCCGGCCCCGACCCCCGCGGCCCCCGCTGAGGAGCCGGGGGTGGCATCGGAGCCCCCCGGGCAGCCCGGGGCCGCGGTGCCAGCCTGTCCCTGCGGGCAGGGCGGGGGCAGCAGGCTGGCAGGGGACACGGCGGCCCCCGGGCTGTCCCTGTTCGCCGGCATGGAGCTGGTGGCTCCTCCCGGCACGGTGCTCCGGCCGCGCTCGCCGCCGGTGGAGCCACGGACGCCGTCCCGGCCCCAGGACGGGGGCACGGACACGGAGGGCACCCTGCAGCCATCGGCCTTCCCCTTCCTCAACATGTAGCTGCTGTCGGGCCCCGGGGGCTGCGGGGGCTCTGCCCCCCTCCCCGCGGGGCCTGCGCTGTCCTGGTGCCTCGGGGACATGGTCTGCAATGGCCACAGGGCTTCCATCAGGTGACAGCGTCCCTCTCGCTGGCTGTGGCGTTCCGGGACAGGCAGAGTGGCACGGCTCCTTGCTCCTCTGAGCTGGACAGGGGTGTGGGACACGCTGGGACTGAGCTGGGGGTGCTTTGGGGACCCCAGCATGGCCATGGGTGCTCTTGGGTGGCAGGGGGTGGGGTGGGAGAAGGTGCCGTCCCCACGGGGCCGGGACCCACCAATAAACCCCACTCGGGTCTGGGAACGTGTGACTTCTTCCTGCGCCGCTGATGGAGCCTGGCCCGTGGCTCCTCCTGGCCCGCAGCCCCACATTTTCCTACAGCCCCATGGCCCCCCAACAGCCGCACAGCTTTCCGATGCTCTCCCCCATGCTACAGCCCCCCTGGTAGCCCCATGGCTCCCCCTCTTCCTCACAGCTCACCCCCTGCCCCCGAGCCCCCCAATAGCTCTGCTTTTTCCCATGGCCCCCAATAATCCCATGAGCCCCCCTGCCCCATAGTGCCCCCTCCCTATCCCACCCCCGCATAGCGCCATGACTCCCCAATATTCCTCACAGCTCCCCAGCAGCCCCAGTTCCCCTCTCAAGTCCCCAAAATCCCCATTTTACCCCCAAAAACCCCCATGGGGACCCCGCCCACCCGATACAAGCCCCGCCCATTTTCCCGCCGTCAAAGCCGCACCCATCTCAATACTCTCGTCCCATTGGTTCGCTCCTAGTAAGTCCCGCCCCCGGCGCTAGCCACGCCTCCCTCATCCATCCCTTTTTTTTCCTGCCCCCTTCCTCCGCCTTAGCCAATCGCGTCCCTTCTCCCCGCCCTCTGCTCCCTCCCCATTGGCCGCTGGCCGGCAGCCCCGCCCAATGGCTGTGGCCGGAGCGCGGCCGTAGGTGAGGGGATGGGGGCGTTTAATGGCGGCTGGGGGGGCTCCGGGGGAGCAAAGGGCGCTCCGGGGGAGCGGGGCACGGGCAGGGCCTCACTCTCGGCATCGCCCCCGGAGCGCGGGGGTCTCACCCGCCTGCGGGTGCGAGGAGCCCCTTACCGTGGTCAGGAGGGGTTGGGTCTGGGGGCTTGGTGTCTGGGCTGGAGGTCTGCGGGGATTCGGAGTTGGGGGGTCCTGGAGGGCCTGGGGATATGGGTTGGGGTCGTGGAGGGCTTGGGCGGGGTTTGCTGGGCGTCCTGGGGAGGGGTCTGGGGCTTGGGGTTGGGTGCCCTGTGGCTCTTGGTGGGGGTCTGGGACTTGGGGGCCTTGGGACCCGGGGGTGGGTGTGCTGGGAGGCATCCAGGGACTGGGGGCTTGGACCTGTGGCGGGGGTCCTGTGCCTTGGGAGTGGGGGAATTTGGGGAGTTTTGGGAGCTTAGAGGACTAGGTGTGGGACCTGGGTGATCCTGAGGGGCTCAGAGATTTGGGAGCTTCAGGCCAGGGCTTTTCTCTGGGTCATAAGGGGGCTGGAGGGCTTGGGGCCATGGGGGCTGGGGAGTCTGAGCTTCAGGGCTCTGAGGGGCTGGGGGCCCAGGGGGCTGTGCCGGCCTGGGCTCCTGAGCCTGTTTTCCTGCCCTGAGCCCAGCGGTTTCCATGAGAGCCGTTTGTTTCCCCAGGCTGTAGAGCCTGCGGCATTGCCAAGGGCTGTGGTGGAGCCCTGGGAGGGGAGGCCAGGGCTGCCAGGGGAGAGGGTTTAGGGACAGTGTGGGTAATAAAGAGATAAAGTAGTCTGGTCTTTTGCTGGATCAGCTCTGGGGCTGGCAGGATGCAGAAGGGAAAAGGTGGGAATGTGCTGCCCTGAGCTGGGAGGGGCACCCAGCTGTTTCTGTGCCCCCTGAGAGGGCACGGGCACTTCTGAAGGAACTCTTAGCAGGGGGAGGATCCCTTGGGGGCTGCTCAGGTGGTTCTTCAGCATCCCAGCCCCGTGTGGGGTGAGCTGGACCTCCACCCTGCACAGATGGGTTTGTTCTGGGCCCCTGTGATCCTCCGGCAGCCATGGCTGTGTGAAGTGAAGCAGCCTGGGATGGGCAGCAGGGCTTTTCCCTCCCTTTAGTCCTCGGCTGGAATCCTGGCCCATAAATGTGACAGCAGCCCATGGGCTGGGTGAAAGCAGTGAGGAGCTCTCCTGGAGTCTCTCCAGGGCTGTGCTTGGCTTATTTGCCATGTGGCATTTGGAGGTTTTGTCCTGTTGGGGAGCAGTTCCGGCTCTGAGTGCCGGTGTTTGCCGGAGCTCCTGGTTCCAGGCTGGCTGCTCCATGCCTTCCCCTCTGTGCTGTGCTGTGCTTCCAGGGCTCCTTCCTGCTGCTCCAGCATGAAGAGCACGCGGAGCTGCTGCTCCGTGCAGAGCTCTGACGTGGCAGAGCTGATCCTGACGGGGCTCCCGGCGCCGGTGTCGCGGCGCCCCGGCAGCGCCTCTCCCGCCAAGCTCATGGCGCGCTCCGTGTCCGTGGCTGCCGATGGCAAAGCCAAGAGGAACGCCCCGGTGAGCCCCTGCCCTTCCCCTCCTGTGCCTGGCGTGTGGCGTGGCTCCAGGCACAGCCACATCCCTCTCACCCCCCTGAGGCCCTGTCCTTCCCCTCCCGTGCCTGGAACATGGGATGGCTCCAGGCATGGCCACGTCCCTCTCATTGTGGTTCTCCCAGCACCAGCCTGGCTTCGTTCTGGCATCACACTTGGCAATTGCTGCTCTCTGCTGGGTGCAGAAGAGCAAGCTTCAGGATTCCGGTTTTTCCCTTCCTTGCCCTTCACCTCCCTGTGCCAATTTCCATCTGGAAACTCCCAATTTCCTGGTGGGGTGTCGGGCCCAGCCTGCCCCTCATGGATCACCCCCTGTTCCTGCCACACCAGGGGCTCCTGAGTGGGGGTTCCACAGAGGGAGCGAGCCCAGGTGCTTGCTGGGCTCTGTCAGGACCCAGCAGCAGACAGCCTGTGCTCCGTGCTGAGTAATCCCTTGGCAGCATTCCCACACCCTTGTTCCCAGAGCTTGTGCTAAGGAACGTGTTCCTGCGGGCTCAGCAGCGCCCGAGCGAGGTGTCATTGCCCGCTGCCTCAAGGGGAGCTTGGCAGCCCTGGGGTAGTGGAACTGCCTGAGGGTGGGGAGCCTGTCTGTGCTCCTCCTGAGTGTGGCTGCTGGATTTATCCCTGCTCTCCACAGGAAGATGCGGGACCCCGGGCCATGAACAACCTGCGCAGGTCCAACAGCACCACCCAGGTGAACCAGCGGGTGAACAGCTCACACAGGTACAGCTCCGTGTGTCCCTCTGTCCTCTGGGTGGCACTGGGGGACACCCCACCCCTGTGTCCAACCTCCCTGGTCCTGCTGGGGAACAGGAGGCTTTCCAAAATACCCTGAGCTCTGTCATGCACTTCAGGAGTTAAAGCCTGGCCCTGGAAAACTAAAGTCTGGCTTTTTGGTTATTTTTTTGAAGAAGAGGTCCCTTGTTTAGGGTTCCATAGGATCACAGAATGGCCTGACCTTAAAGTCCTATGCAGGATCACAAGACCAGGTTGCTCCCAGCCCCATCCCATCTGGCCTGGGACACTTCTCTGTCAGAGTATTGCCCAGATTCTGTGCCAAGGTCTCTCCACCATCACAGGGAAGAATTTCTATTTGAGGAAATGGAGGGTATTTCTGTGGCTGTGACAAAAAACATTCCATGTGATTCCAACAGCCCTCATGGACCCTCCAGGCCATAACTGGGCTGTGTGAGGAGACAAATGTTCTCTGTTCCCAGTGCCCTCTGAGTTGGGATTTTCCATTCTCCTGTTGCTTTGTGCCCATCCCTCTCACCACACACCACCCTGGAACCCAAAGTTCTGTGTAAAAACAAATCACTGGTGGATTTTGTGGCCATGTAACAATTCTCCAGCCCCTTTCTCCCATGTCACACTGGAGTTTCCAAATGCCCTACATAGCCAGAGTGTGTCCTGTGGCTGTGAGTTGTCCCACAGTTATCTCTTCTCTCCTCTCTGCCTTCCCTGGGTCTGGATGAAGCTCGGAGCAGACAGGAGACTTCCTGGCCTTCTTTGAGGGTGACCCAATAGGAAGGAAGAAACTGGCAGCTCTGAGCAAAACCTCCCCGGAGAAGAAAACCACATGGAATATCTTGGTGAGGACAGCAGGCTGTGGGAGTGGGCGGGCCAGGGCTGTGCTCCTGGTGGTGTTTGAGGGGTGGGTTTGGTGTTTTATCCCTGCTGACTCCGTGGCAGGATGACCAGCCCCGAGTGTTCCCGGGCCCCTCTGGCTCCCACGGCTTCGAGCCGCCCGCGGGCATGAGGAGGAAGGAAGCCACAGTGCTCCTGGCTGCCAACTTCACTGCCAACAACAGGTAGGACAGAACGTCCTGAGGGGGAGAGTGGTTGTAAATGCATGAAGAAAACACCTGGAGGGGGGAAGCTGCTGCTTCTGACACTCCTGGTCTCCCCACACAAGGAGCAACAAGGGCGCAATGGGCAACTGCGTCACCACCATGGTGCACAACAACTACTCCACTGCTGAGAGGGGCCCTGCTCCCAAGAGCTCCAACCAGGCTCCCAGTTCCCTCAAGTGAGTGTGAGGGGTGTCCTGGCTCTGCAGCTGGGCTGGCCCTGGGGTCATGTGTGTCACAGGATAGGGCTGAGTGGCTTCATCTTCTGTCCCAGCAATGTCGTCAAAGCGGCCTCAAACGAGGACGGGGAAGGCAGCAGCAGCCTCGTGAAGTCTCAGAAGAATTTCTCCAGCAACAACATCATGACCCACAACAACAACAGCAGCAGCAGCGTTCCCCGGAGGAGGGAAGTGACTGAGGAAGAGGCTGAGAGGTGAGGGAAGGAGCAGGAGGACAGTGCTAGGAGGTGTGAGGAGCTCCAGGGCAGCTTGTTCTTCTCCTGTGGCATTTCACACTGGGGAAAGGCCACTCTCAGTGCACCTGCAGGTCCCGGTGCTGTGGGGAAGCCGTGTGTGCTCTGCTGCCCCTGGGGCTGTGCTGACCTCCCTCGCTGTCCCACAGGTTCATCCAGCAGGTGAACATGGCTGCTGTCACCATCCAGCGCTGGTACCGGCGGCACTCGCAGCGGCACAGGACGGCGGCTGCGGCTCTGGGACGCCTGATGGCTGCCAAGAGGGAGGTTGGTCCTGTCCCCTGCTCTGTAGCCCAGACCACCCGACACCCGTGTCCTGCTGGCCACCCAGTTGGGGTCCCTTTAATCCCCAGACCTTGGCTGTGAGAGTCGAGGGGGCTCTGGCTTTGCATCCAACCAGCCCCGCCGTGGCCCAGAGGGCTGGGGAGGTCCTGTTCCCTCAGAGCTGTGCTGGCTGCCTGCAGGGATTAGCCTGGGCTGGGTTCCAGTAGGAGCTGAGGCTCAGCACCACACAGCTCCAGTTCCCCCAGCCCCCTGACTGGGAGCAGTCAGAGCCTGGCAGTAGCAGCACAAGTCTCCCTGAATTGCCATTGTCTGGGCCATACTCCTGGCCAGAGAAGGGTTGCCCCATCTTGGCTCACCCTAATGAATCCCTAATGAGGTGCCTTGTTAGAGTGACGAGGTTTTGCAGCTATTTGTGTTTCCTTGTGTTCAATTATTTATCCCAGTAATGAAAAGCTCCGTTGCTCTTGCGTGTGAGTCTATTTTTAAGCCTTGTCTCCTCAGTGGTTGCAGACTCAGATGATGATATTATAATAATAATAATAGTAATAATAATAATAATTGCATTGAGGTTCTGAAGGAATGAGCTGCTCCAAAGTGGAGCTGTGCTGAGGGCTCCTCACCTGCACAGAGGATGGAAAGCCTGGATATGGGGTGACCCAGGGGTGGGTACCCCTCACACTTCTAGTGGTGAGTGCTGGAGAATTCTCAGTAACATTTTTGACCCTCCTCTCTGGAAGGAAAGGCAGCAGCGGATGGAGGAGGGGAATATCCTGGATTTGCAGGAGAGGAAGGACGAGGAGCGACGCAAGATCCGAGAGGAGAAGGCACGCCTGGCCCGGCACACTGCCATCCAGGTAGGGCCAGGGCCAGGCCTGTGTGACACCATTTGCTGGCATCATCCAGCAAGAGGCCTCTCTGCATCTCCAGAGCCTTGGCATGGGGCAGGACCAGAGCCAGCCTTGGGATGGAGTGCTCCCTCCGGAGATGGAGGTGCCACGGAGCAGTTTCCTGCTGTGCTCCTGCCAAGCCTTGGCAGCTCATTCTGAGCTTGTGGAGACAGCGCTGGTTTCTGTGTAGTTCTCAGGAAAATGGTGACCACGTTGAGACAGGGACACTCCAAGCTCTGTGGAATGGCCGAGGATGTGTGTGCTCTGGGAGTGGGACCCTCCTCAGGAGCAGGGTCCCTCTGGAGAGGGCCGAGTACCACTCCGTGTCCCTTGGCAGGAAGCAACACGTCATTGTCACCCTGCTCTTGCAGCTGGTGGTGCAGATGGGGTTGGCACAGGATGCAGGATTTGGCAGCAAAGCTGGGGATGTTTTAAACCCCAAATTTTCTTTGCCCTAATTGGAAACATGTTCCATTCGGGGGAGGGGGTTGGGGGAGGCACATCAGTGAGCAGCTGGAGGATGCAAAAACACTGCCACAGCCTTGCAGACACAGGCTTGTGCCTTCCCAAAGCTTCAAGACATCCATGGCTCCTCTGTCCCTGCAGGAGCTGCAGCAGAAAAGGGCCCAGAAGGCCTCGGAGACGAAGCGCTCGGCAGAAGAGCAGGTGCTGGTGAAGGAGAGCAGGAGGGTGCCCAAGAAGAAGCCTGGTGCCAAACCTGCCTCAGCCAGGAATGCCAGCCCGGCTGGCAGCCTCACCAAAGCCAACAATGCCGGTGAGTCCCTCTGGTGTGTCCCCAAAGCTTTGGGAGGGAGGGGTTTGCTCTGAGGAGCTGCTTCCCAGGGGCTGGCTGGGGCCAGGACCTGAGAACAGCCTGCTTCCTGCAGAGGCCAATTCCCCCTCGGCAGCCTCGGAGCTGGAAGGAAGCAGCCTGGGAGCTCTTGGCTCCGTGCCCTTGCAGGACCCCGGGGCAGAGGACAAACTGCAGGTGGGTCTGGCTGTTCCTCCTGGGGACCCTGGCAGCAGCTGCTCTGCCAGGGCAACATCAGGCCTTTGCTGGCTTCTGGGGAGAGCCAGAAAACTCTCTCATTCTCTCATCTTCTCCCTTAGGATGTGAGCTCCAGGGAGACAGGTAACGAGGACCTGGAGACAGCAGTGGCTGCTGGCAGCAGGGCTCCATCCAAGGTCACACTCAACGAGCTGCTGGACACGCTCCGGCTGCTGGAGGAGGAGCCAGAGCTGCTGCCCCCACCCAGGCTCCTCAAGAAGGACAGATATGCCTGGATGGACAGGGTGAGCTGGGGGATGCTGTGTTCATCCTTGGGCTGCCTGCTGAGAAACAGCCGGGCACTGCCAGGGAAGGTGGTGGAGGAGCTTGGAGTGGGTGATGGAAGAATTTGGAGGAGGAGATGGAGGAGTGTGGAGGTGCTCATCCAAGCATTGAGGGCTTGGATGTTTGCAAGGAACAGCAACCCATGCAAAGGCTGGTGGTGGGACAGGGTTTAACCCAGAGGATCAGGCTGGTTACTGGGCTCCAGTGATGGAGACAAGCCAGCACCTCTTCTCCCAAGCCTTCCCCTGGGTGCTCATTCACCATGGTGAATTCCCAGCAGGAGTCCAGCTCCAACTCCCTGACTGCTGATAACCTGGAGAAGTTTGGGAAGCTGAACCACCCTCCAGGGGTCCCCGAGGACGGGGCTCTGCTCTCAGAGGCCAAGCTCCAAAGCATCATCAGTTTCCTGGATGAGATGGAGAAGTCAGAGCAGGAGAGGCCCAGGTCAGCTGCCTCAGCCACGCAGCGGGAGGTGAGTCCATCTGTGGTGTGGGAATCCATTCCTGGTGGGAATCGTCCCCTGTCTCCCTGTCCTCATTCCAGGTGGTTCCACCACCTTTTCATCATGTTTGCTGTGGCAGAGTTTCCTTTTGGAAGAGGAGCTGGCTCACGTGGAGCAGGTGTCGGCGGTTGCCACAGAGGTGACAAGCTCCATGATGAGGCTGAAGCTGGAAGTGGAGGAGAAGAAGAGAGCCATCAGCCTGCTTCAGACTGCTCTGGTGTGTCAGCCTCACACGTGGTTCTTGGGGCTGTGAAGCACATGATCAGGACCATCCCTTGATTTTACAGAATCATTGAATTGTTTGGTTTGGAGGGGACCTTAAAGATCATCTAGCTGGCACCTGGGCTGAGTTCCCTTCTCTGTCCTGGGGGGCTGGGTGTTCCTGCTGACAGGGGTGGGAGATAGGAGCACCAGGGCTTTGCTTCAGCTCTGTTCCTTGTTTTCCTGGCCTGGTGGTGATTTCCATGTTGTGGCTGTTTGACCCCACAGACCCAGCAGCGGGAACTGACTGACCGACACGTCAAACAGACCGAGAAGGAGCTCAGCCAGCAGCTCAGGCTGCAGAGGGAGCAGTATGAGGCAGCTATCCAGAGGCACCTGGCCTTCATTGACCAGGTAACCCTCGTCCCAACTCCTGAAGCAGAGGCTGAGGTGGCTGCACCTGCCTGATGCTGGCTCCTCACCCTGCCCAGCTCCTCGATGACAAGAAGGTGCTGAGTGAGAAGTGTGAGGCCGTGGTGGCAGAGCTGAAACAAGTGGACCACAAGTACGGCCAGAAGATCACCCAGATGCAGGAGCAGCATGAGCTGGTGAGGGGACAGGGAAGATGGGGGACACGTGTGTGCTGATTTTGCTCAAATGGGGCCTCTGCCTGGAGCAGGACAGTCTCTGCCACCTCGGTGGGACCTGGACACTCCAAGGAGCTCTTCTCTGTGCACAGAGAATGACCCTGTCACCACAGAGCTTTGTTCTGGCTCCCCAAAAGTCTCCTGTACTCTGCTGCCCAGGGCCAGGAGCATGGCACTGACCAAGGGACAGTGTAAACTTCCAGGCTCTGCTTGGAGAGACCCTTCCCACACACCTGGCACAGGGTGCCCAGAGAAGCTGTGGCTGCCCCATCCCTGGCAGTGTCCAAGGCCAGGTTGGACAGGACTTGGAGCAGCCTGGGATAGTGGAAGGTGTCTCTGCCATGGCAGGGGTTGGAACTAGATGAGCTTTAAGGTCCCTTCCAACCCAAACCATTCTGTGATTCCACGATCCCACTGAAGGCAGAGCTGTCCCAGGCTGGGGGTGCCCAGGGTGCAGTGCTGGCACAAACCCAATGCCATGGTGCAATTTTGCTTCTCCTGTGGATGGAGACAGCTCAGCTGGCCCTGTGCCAGGCCTGGCAGGAGGACAGCACCACTGGGCTCTTCCCAGCTCTACCATCCCAGTCCCTGCTTGTCCTTGACCTTGGAGCTGAGGTCGTGCCTGGCCAGACCGTGGGGGTCCCTAGGTCCCTGGAGCAGGCTCCAACCACACAGGCTCCTGGCCAGTCCCTTGGCTTGTCCCTGTCCTTGTCCCTCGTGCTGTCTCCCCTCGCCCCCATGGACTCCTGCCCAGCTCTGCCCTGCCCGTGGCTCCCACAGGCTGTGTGGATTTGCCTCTCCTCCACATTCCCCTTCTCTCTCCATCCCCTCCTTTCTTTCTCCCCAGGTCTGGCGCACTTTGGGCCCCTTTTGTGAGGTAAATGTGGTCTTTGCTCTCTTTTATGCCTTGCCCTCTGCTCTCGTGCCCTGACCTGCTCTGGCCCTGCTCCAGCCCCTGTCAGAGGGTTTTCCGTGGCAGGGAGAAGGAAGGCTGGAGAAGAAAGCACCATCACACAGGGACAGATGGGCTGCCCTGCATGCAAGGACCCTCGGCAGCCCCTAGTTCCCCTTCCCTCTCCGTCAGTGCTCTCATGTCTTGGCAGTGAGCACTTTCCCACGGGGATAGAGGAGAAGGCACTGGGAAAATGTATGGCCACTTCTCTGGGCTGGAAGAACACACCTGGCCAGGGCTGTGCCTGTATCCATGTGCAGCTCCACAGCTTCCTTCCCAACAGCCCGGCTCCCACGGCTTTTCCCTCCCATCTTCTCTGAGGTTTTCCCATTTGCTTCCAAACAGGAGATTAAGAAACTGAAGGAACTCATGAGCGCAACTGAGAAAGTCCGGCGGGAGAAGTGGATTGAGGAGAAAACCAAAAAGATCAAAGAAATCACTGTGAAAGGTACGGGCAGGTTCCCTCAGCAGCAGCTGGAGCCAGGGCAGTGCCAGCGTGGTGCAGGAGAGATTTGGAACAGCTCCTTGGTGTGGGCAGTGTTTGCTCCCTGTTTCTGGTGGAGCAGATGCCAAAGGGCAAGAAAATCCCTCTGTGCTCATCCCCCCTTCCTGCCAGCGCCTTAGAGCCAGCCAGGGGCACCAGGTGGGATCCAGGCCGAGCCGTGCCCGTCCTTCCCCCTGTCCCAGGGCTGGAGCCGGAGATCCAGAAGCTCATGGCCAAGCACCGCGAGGACATCCGGCAGCTGAAGCTGCTGCACGAGGCCGAGCTGCTGCAGTCGGACGAGCGGGCGGCGCTGCACTACGGGCGGCAGGCGCAGGAGCTGCGGGGGCTGCTGGAGCGGGAGAAGGAGGAGCAGAGCCAGCGGGAGCGGGAGCGGGCCCGGCAGAGGTGTGTCACCCCGGGCTCAGCGCTGCCTTGGGCTCACAGATCTGGAGTGCTGTCCAGCACCAGTCCGCTGGTGGGATCTCAATATTTGCAGCTCCACGGGGAGCAGCCCCTTTCTCTCCACCGGCCTCAGGTGGGCGATGCTGCTGAGCTGGGAGCATCCTCTGGCATCGTGAAGGGCAGCGTGGAGAGGAGGCCGAGTGCTCGAAGGCACGTCCCTGGAAGTGTGTGTGTCCCACAGGTGTGAGCAGCAGCTGGAGCAGGAGGAGCAGGCACTGGAGCTGCAGCGGCGCCGGCTCTATGCCGAGGTGGCCGAGGAGAAGGAGCGGCTGAGCCAGCAAGCAGCCAGGTGGGCGGGCTGGGGGCCAGGGGCTAGGGGCAGCCCTGAGCTGTGGGGCTGGGCTCCCTAGGCCAGATTTCCATGGGGCTGGTGTGGATGCTGGGAGCTGTGTCTGTGCAGGCAGCGAGCAGAGGCAGAGGAGCTGCGGCGGCAGCTGGAGGCCAACAGCTCGGCCCTCACCCGGGCACTGCGGGACGAGTACACCAAGGAGAAGGAGGAGCAGGAGAGGCGGCACCAGGTCTGGTTCCCCCTCACCTCCAGCCCTTTGGGTGCTGGCACCACCAAGCCTTGGACCCCATAGGGGCAGCCCCAGCAGCTGCTCCCAGCCAGCACAGGAGGGTCCCAGGGCTGAGCTGTTGTTTTCTCTTCTCACAGGCAGAACTGAAGGTGCTGAAGGACCAGCTGGAGCTGGAGAAGCAGGCCTGGGAGGCCAACTACGTGAAGAAGGAGGTAATGGCAGGAGCTGTCCTCCAAAGGTGCCACCCATGGGCTCTAAGAGGAATTTGAGGCCATGTTTGCTGTCTCCATTGCAGGAAGCCTGGCTGCTGTCCCGGGAGCGGGAGCTGCGGGAGGAGATGAGGAAGGAGAGGGACAAAGAGATCGAGCTGGTGATCCAGCGCCTGGAGGCCGACACATCCTTGGCCAAGGAGGAGTGCGAGAGGGCAGCGGAGAGCAGGTGAGGGGGAAAGGGAGGAGGGAGGTCCCAGGGCCTCCAGAGGCTGGTCCCTTTTCCCTGTGCCCTGGGCATCTCTCCAGTGAGCCCTGGAGCAGTGTTGGTGCAGGAAGGAGCAGCTCACAGGGACAGAATTTCTCTCTCACCTGAGGAAACAGCCCTAGATCTCTTGTGAGGCAGCTCTGCCCTTGCTGCTGTATCCTGATCCCTCCTGCAGCAGGAATAGAGCTGGGATGAGCCAGGCAGCTGCAGGATGAGCCAGGCTGCCTGTCCTTCCTGCCCACAGGATCAAGAGGATCCGAGACAAGTACGAGGTGGAGCTGCAGGAGCTGGAGCGGTCGGAGCGGAAGCTGCAGGAGCGCTGCAACGAGCTCAAGGGGCGGCTGGCCGAGCTGGAGGGGGAGAGCATGCGGCTGCAGGGCCTGCTGAAGCACAAGGAGCAGGAGCTGGAGGAGATGCGGAAGGTGAGCGAGGAGCAGAGGCAGGGCCCTGCCTGGCCATGCCTGGGTGTGTGGGACCGGCTGTCCCAGGGCACAGAGGCCTGACTGAGGTGGTCTGGCAGGAATTTGCGGACAGGCTGGTGGGGATGGAGGAGGAGAACGCGCGGCTGAAGGCAGAGATGGCGGAGCTGAGGGCCCGGCAGCACCTGGAGCTGGACAGACTGGTGAGGGAGAAGGACCAGGAGCTGGAGGAGGTTCACAGGAGGTGAGGAGCCCAGGCGGGGTGCAGGAGCTCAGTGCTGCATCCTTGGGAATGGCTTCCAGCCCTGTCCAGGCAAACCAGGCAGAAGTCAATTGTCTGAACTGACTGCTGCTCAGCCACCCTGAATCCTCTGTTCCTTGTCACTGCTGGCCTGCTCTGTGCCATCGTGTCCCCAGGGCTGCTCCTATGCCTGCATAGAGGACAGGAGTGCCAGGAGAGGCCAGTGGAGCACAGCTCTGTCTGCGTTCCTCCCTGGCAGGAGCCCTGGCCAGGATCACTGTCACCTCCTGGGGGCTCCCTGTGGCTCACACATGATACCTGTGACTGCAGCCCTGTGATCTTCTCCAGAGGGCCAGGGCCCAGGGTCAGGCCACAGCCACAGAGGCTGAGGGCAGCTGGGACATCCCCAAAATGCTGTGATAATTAAACCTTAGGAAGCTAATGTGCCTTTCTTCCTGTAGACAAGTCTGTCCACACTACACAGCACCCACCAATGGAATAAAGGTGCTGCCAGTGTGTGATGGCACCCGGAGCCCAGTTGTGGCTGGGCGAGAGGGACTGAGATCCCAGGGCTGCAATTCCCCCCCGGGGCAGGGCCCAGCCCCGTGTTTGGCACGGGGGTGCTCAGCCCCCCATGTCCATGGCAGGGTGAAGGCGGCCGTGCTGAGGAAGGAGGAGAGCATGAGCAGCCTGCGGAAGCAGTACGAGGTGAGTGGGGGCTCCCCGGGCCTGCCCTGGCTGTGGCTGGGCGGGCACTGCGAGCTCCCTGTCCCCTGTGCTGTCCCCTGTGCTGTCCCCTGTGGCAGGCGGCCGTGCAGAGAGCCAGCCTGCTGGAATCGCTGCTGCAGCGGCAGCGGCAGCTGGCTGCGGAGTGACCGTCCTGCCGGGCAGGGAGCGGGGCTGGCGCCGGCCTCGGGGCCTCCCCTCCCTCCTCCCCTCTTCTCCACAGCCTGGTCCCAATGCCCTGGCCGTGCTGGGACACCTGGTGACCTTTAGATGGTTGGGAGTTTTGTTCTGATAATAAATCTCTGCTGGTTTCTACAACTGTTTCTATACTTGTCAGTGCCAGAGCACGAGTGACTCTTCCACGAGGTCTGTGTCCACTCCCACCTTCCCAACCCCCATTCCTGCATCCCAAGACCCTCCCTTTGCTCTGACGGTGCCCAGCACCTCAATCTATGCCTTGGGGCCTGTTCTAAACTGAAATATCCATTAGGATGCAGGGAGGCAGAGCCAGGGCAGGATGTGATCCCACAGCCTCTGCTACCTGCAGATTCCTCAACAGCCCCTGACAGGGCCGGGAAATGCCTGGGCTGGGCCGGTGGCATCTGTTTCCTCTCGGCCGGGGTGTGCAGCCGCTCTGGTCCCTCCCCCGGGCCGGGGCTCCGAGCACGGGCCGGCAGATGTTTTCTCAGCAGAGTCCCTGGTGTTTCCCATCCGTCCTGCTGCTCCCGGGACAGGGGCACAGAGGGTGGCTGGGTCCTGCACAGGCCACAGTGCCATCTCGGTTCCCCTCTCCCCGCTGTGCCAGGCTGGACAGCTCATCCCAGTGTGCCGGGAAAGGCCGGGCACGGCGTTTGTTCCGCTGTTGTTGCTTTTCCAAGGAGTTTCCTGAGCGCCGCTTCCGACCCCCGCCCTGCCCAGCCTCCCTGCGTGCCCCCCGAGCCAGCGGCCGGGAATGTGCCCTGGGAGAAGGGGGCTCAGCCCACTCACTGCCCGGCCAGGGGCTCCGGTGTAGCCCCGAGCCCCGTGCGGCATCGCCGCTGTGGGGTGAACACCCACCACGGTCCCCGGGGAGTGCCGACCCGGCCCCCGGCATCTCCCCGGCCCCTCCCCGGCATCGCCCGGGCTAATTTCTAGGCCAGTGCCCGGTTCAGGCATGAATAAATCAGCGCCGTTGCATAACGGGGATGCGGATTTTCCCCGGCTGGCTGCCCGTGCCTGCGCCGGCGCCCCCCGCCCGCCCCCCGGGGGTCCCGCGGGACCGGCGGCCGCCCGGCACCGGCGTGTCCCTCTCCCCGTCCCTGTCCCTGCCGAGCCGGGCGCTGCGGGCTCTGCCAAGCTCCCCGAGAGGGAACCCCTCGCCCCCCGGGTGCCCCGGGATCAGGCGGGGAGCGGAGCCCGTTGGCCGCCCGGGGCCGGGAAGGAGGTCGGGAGCACCGGGGGCTTTTGGCAGCCGCCGCGCGGGAATCGCCGCTCAATCTGGTGTCTGCCCGAGAGGGGATTAGCCGCAGCCCCAGACAAATCAGCCGGGAAGCCGGAGCAAGTGGCAGGATCCGAGCAGGGTAATCTCCCCTTGGGAAAGATCTGTAATCTCCCCTGCTAATTGGGGCGGCGGCAGCGGCGCTGCCCCGCCGGGAGGGGATGCCAGGGGAGCGGTGCCACCCGGTGCCTCTGCCGGGCTTGGACCGACGCTGACACAGCCCCGACCTCAGGGGCTCCCTGACGCTTTAGGCCTCGATTCTCCTCTGGGTTTTTCCTTTTTATAACCACGTTGGAAATCTGGTGGGAAGCAGGACAAGCAGCAGGGGACACAGGGCAGGTGGTGGGTTTGGGTGGCCATGACAGCTCAACCCTCCTGACTGTGTCAAATGGGCTACGGGGGTGTCACCTGGGCACGGAGGGTGCTGGGGCATGGGGCTGCTGTGCTTGGTGTCCCAGCTGAGCTGGGGATTCCAGGTCTTCCCAAGGAGGGCAGGGTGGCACACAGGGCTGGGCAGGCACATGCTCCTTCCTCATCCCACTCACCCATCCCTGTCCCAGTGTCATCCCCAGTCCATCTCTGTCCTCTTCTTTCCCATCTCATCCTCAATTCCATCCCCCCCAATCCTAATTCTCATCCCCATCCCATCCTCATCCTCATTTTCCTCCCCATCCCACACTCTCCCAGACACAGGAGGGAAGGGACACTGGGCACCAAGGCTGCCACCCCCAATACAACATGGGGTAGTTTTATCCCCTCCCACTCACCGAAGCCCTCCTGCCTCTTCCCAGTGCCAGCAAGGCCTCAGCTCGTCCTTGTCCCACCCACTCTGGGGCCAGCTGAGTGTGCTTGGGATGCTGGGGGCAGATGGGCCCAGTGGGTGGGTGCCTGGTGTGGGTGGGTGGGTGCCTGGTGTGGGCTCAGCACAGCTGCCCCCCCCATCCCACCTGGCTGTGACTCAGCCAGTGCCAACTCAGCCACACGGGGAGCGAGGCTGGCCCTGAAAACCACCCTGGTGGCGAGTGGCCACCCACTCCCAAGGGACCATGGCTGGTCCAGAGGGCACCAATGGCACCAAAGCTCCGAAAGACTCCACACGCTTCTGCACCAGGTGAAGGTGACTGTACCAGGTCAGCGCCACCTTTGTTCAGCTGCTCTGAGGCCAGGAAGGCTCACAGAGGAGCTCAGGGTGTCCCACATGTGGGGTCAAGGACATTTGCACATCCAGAAAGGACCAGGGACCCATTGTGGGAGGGACAGCGGGAGTAATGGGGTGCCCATGAGCTGCACCCCAGCGGGGGTCTCCAAAATGAGTGATGGGGCATCAGCAGTCGCCTGCTAGCCCTGGCAGAGGGACTGGGGGGTCCTGTGGGACAGAGCTGCTCCAGAGCAGAGAAATGCGGAGGCAGGGGAGAAGGGAGAAACTGGCTCCAACGTGTTTATTCTCCCAGCAGCCGGTAATTTTTCCAGGCCTGTATCTATTTGTGGCAACGTGACATGTGCAGCGTGGTGCTGTTCTGTGCAGGCTTGAAGGCTTGTAAAAAATTAATCGTGTACGCAAAATTTGGCTTTAAATATTCAAAGTGGTGGTGGGGATGTGTGAGCCCCGTGCTCAGAGCTGAGCCCAGCAAGGGCTGGGACAAGGGGGTTCCCAGGAATGAGATGGGACAAGATGGGGCAGGAAGGGACAGGACTGTCCTGCCATGACCCTGAAGGAAAGTCCAGCCTGGTTCCCAGGTGGGCTTGGTGACCAGCGGCACCCAGAGCTTTGCCAGGGTCTGGCTGGGGGCTGCCAGGGGTGTGGGTGAAGCTGTGGGACGTTCTCTGCCAAGGAATTGGGACGCTGGGTTTTGGAGCATCCCGTGTTTGGAGGGCACACTCCCGTGTGCCAGGGCTGTAGCGTCGAGCAGACGAGGCCGAGCCATGGCCCCACATGGGGCAGCCCCCAGCCCAAGGGGGACCCCGCACCACGGGCCTGGCTGGGGCTGCTGGGGGCTCTGCTCCCCCTCGGGATGGGACTGGGGGGCTGCAGGGTGAGGCTGCGCTGGGTCACAGGGGCAGAGATGGGGTGCAGGGTGCGTGTGTGAGGGGGGCTGGCAGGGGGTTGAGGGGCTGCTGGGGGGCAGAGCTGCCCATCCCGTCCTTATTTCCCGTCCCTGGTCGTGGGAAGCCGGCGGTGCCCGGGATGGGTCAGCTCCTCACTTCGGGGGTGCCAGCCCCGCTCCCGGGTGATCCCGTCCCCGCTCCCGGGGGTGGCAGCCCCTGCGTGGTCCCGGCCCTGCTCGGGTGGTCCCGGTCCCGCTCGAGGGTGGAGGATGCCCCTCGGGGGTCCCGTCCCCGTCCGGGGGTCTCCCACAGCCCCCATCCATCCCGGCGGGACCGCGCGGGGGCGGCGGCGGCTCATCCCGGAGGGGAGGACGCGGATCCCGGTGCGGTCCCGGGGCTGCGGCTCCGCCACCTGCCGCCCCCGCCCGCCCGGTCCCGCTGCTCGGCGGCGGCGCCCAGCGCGGGGCCAGCGGCAGCCGGCGGCCGTGGGGCTCCCGCCGCCGCCGCGCCATGGGCCGCTTCCCCGCCGCCGCCGCTGCCATGGCGGCCGCCTTCCTCAGCCCCAGCCTCGCCTTCAGCTCCCACTTCGACCCCGGTAAGTGCCGCAGCCCCGGGGCTGACGGACCCGCGCCCCCTCCCGCGCGCCGAGCCTCCCCCGGTGCTCCGCCGTGTGCCCGGCTCAGTCCCCCGGTGCACCGGGAACGAGCATCCCCGCATCGCGCTGCGCCGCGAGCAGAGCATCCCCTCGTCCTCATCACCGGGAATGTCACTGTACGGGCTCTGACAGCCGGACCCGACCCGCTGTGGCGGTGTGACACCCCGGTGTGGCGGCGGGACACCCCTGCGCCGTGCTGGGACACCCCGGTGTGGCCGTGTGACACCCCGGTGTGGCGGGGGGACACCCCGGTGTGGCAGTAGGACACCCCGGTGTGGCAGTGGGACACCCCGGTGCGGCGGGGGGACACACCGGTGTGGCGGTGCGGTGGGATCGCTGCCGCAGCCGGGCGGCATTTTGTTCCGCGGGCTGGGGCGCGGAAGAATCCCGGGGCTGCGCTGGCTCTGAAGGCATCTCCGGGATTGGAACGGAATAATAACAACAGGGAGGATGGTGATGGCGAGAGGGAGGAAGACGGAGCCGCGGCTGAGCCCCCGCCGCCTGAGACACGCGGCGGCCGGGGAGCCGGGGGCTGAGGGTCCCCGGTGGGGCTGGGGGGGCCGGCGGGGCTCGCTGGGGTGCCGGGGCTCGGCAGCGGCGTTTTGGGGCGCAGCCGTTATGTAAGCGCCGTGTTCCGGCCGCGGCGCAGCTGCAGGAAGATGCTGCAGCCGCGGAGCAGCGCGGGGCTGGCGACTGCGGTGCGTGTTTGGGGCTGCGGCCGCCGCAGCCGCCCCTCGCCGCCGCCCCCCGCAGCCGCCTCGTGTCCCTCCCGGTGCGGGGCTGGCACCGCGCGGGCACCGGGACCCCTCGTGGGAGCGTCCGGCGGGCGCTCGGCTCCGGCCCTTTGTTTACCAGCCCGGGATAACGCGTGTCGGCTCCGCGGCTCCCGCCGCTCCCGGCGCCTCCTCCGGCACCGCGAAGGCGGAGAAGCGGTGCCCGTGCCGGGCGCGGTGGTGCCGGAGGCTCCGGCTGTCGGTGCCGGGCTCCCGCATCCCTCCCCGCCGCCTTCACGGTCCCTCCTTCCTCCGCCGCTCCCGCTCCCCCGGCAGCGCACGGTCGGAATCCGTGAAGGGATTTGGAAATGAGCCGCACCAGGACTCGCCGAACGGGGACTTTGTCCCCAGCCGC